AAAACGTATCTATTTCAGCTGGCATTTCCACCTTAAGTAATGATACTGTTGTTTTTTTTCTCCCCTCTGCCCCATGTGTTTTTTATTGACCCCTGACTGTTGTGTTCCTAACTTTTATATTGTAACAATTTTAACTTTTTTACTGTTTTAATTCTTTGTAAGCCGCCTTGATCATATTTATGGAAAGGCGGGGTAAAAATAAAATTTATTATTATTATTATAAATGGGCAAGAAAGACCAGTCTCTTCTGGCAGGCCTATCCAGACTGTTTTTCAGCTATGGATTTAAAGTATTTATTGATGGATTTTAATATGTTTTGGTTTTATGATTTGTTGTTGTTTTCCTTGCCTTGAACCACGGGGAGCAGCAGGTAAGAAATCATAACATTTATTTATTACGTACTTATTTACACAAACACCTCGTGAGGTAGGCAAAACTTTGAGAGCAAGTTACCTTTTCGACTGCAAGCTCCTTCCTCAGCCGACAGCTGGCGAGATTCTGAGTAACTTTTCTAGGCAAGATGTAGAGGCCAGTAAAGCTGATAAACACTGACCCCTAAGGTCACCTAGAATTATGGCCATTTGGAGACTGGAGCCTGGGCCTTGGACAGGCACTGGACCATGGCTCTGGAGACCAAGGTTCGATTCTCCGCTCGGCAATGGAGACCCACTGGGTTACCTGGGGTGAGGCACAGACTCTCAGCCCCAGAGAACACTGTGTTAGGGTCACCTTGGGATCATCATAAGTCAGAAATGAGGTGAAGGCATACAATAACAACGACAACAACATAACCTGGACTTCCTCAATGTAGAGCCTGCCAGATGGCCATGCAGGCTCCAGATGATGGGAGTTGTAGACCAATGCAGTCGGAGACTGCCAGGTTGGAGAAAAGCTAGCCGAACCAGTACAGAATATATATAATATATGGCCCTGGATGACTTTGGGCAAGTCACTTGCTCTCAGCCTTAGGGGAAGGCAATGGCAAACTTCCTCTGAACAAAAATCTTGCCAAGAAAACCCCATGATAGGTTTGCCTTGGGGTCTGCGTAAGTCGGAAACAACTTGAAGGCACACAACACACAGCAGACAAATGCTGAAGAACCATTCCAGATGATGGCTAGTTGGCCAGGGGCCATGCATGTCTATGGAGATGATCGCATGGCTTAAATAATGCTACTTACCACTCCCAAATTTAATTCGAATTGGTGCTGCAAATGTGTTTTATCGCACGGCTTTTGCAGCGGAATCTGACTTTAGACTAAATCCCTGCTCCAACGCACATCCGAAAACACGCTCTGGCGTAGGAACCTTCTGACTTGGAAAAATGGCCACCGGAGCGCATTTCCCAATTCGCATTGGAGAGGGGATGCACCCGGATGGCTTTTTTTGGGGGGGGGGGGAAGCCGTGCGATAAGACCCAGCTCCAGCCTGAATTGGGCTCTAATTCGAAAGAGGTAAACCGAGTCCAGGAGGAGGTGCGATAATCTCCTACGTTTTGACTCACTCCCACACGTTCTTCATTTCTTTCTCTCCAACATCACTCCCTTTTCAGTGGAATTTTATGTCCATTTATTTCAATTTAAATACCCCAAATAAATAAATAAATAAATAAATAAATAAATAAGACTTTTTTTTCCCTTGGATTTTGCAAGGTCAATAAGCAGGGACTGGCCTGATGAAATTGACTCTTTGAACACAATAACCTCCAACTGGATCAAGGAAAGAATTACGAAACTATCAAAATGGTTTTTTTTTTAAAATGTATTATGCAGTAATCCAGACTATTTATGAAACCTTAAAATGACCAATTTTGGGTGTTTCAAAAGAGGCACACAAAGCACAATGCAGTATGCAACAAACAAATCAGAACAATTAGATTTCAGAATAAGTGAATATACTGACACGTAGAGTCCAGATGTGATACAACAAATAATACAGAGACTCACACAAGAGGATGACGATGTCCATTCCCGGGATCTTGAACTGGACTTGATAGGTCTGCTTTAGATCTTTAGATTCAATCAGTATAGTAGTATTCTTTCTTTATCATCCAATAGGATTGCATGGTAAGTGGCATCTACACTATTTTGGGAACCAGTGTAGTGCAGTGGTCTGAGCATTGACTGTGACTCTGGAGACCAGGGTTCGATTCCCATCTCGGCCATGAAACCCACTGCGTGACCTTGGGCAAGTCACATACTCTCAGCCTCATAGGATGGCAATGGCAAACTTCTGCTAAAGAAACTTGCCAAGAAAATCCCATGATGGTTCACCTTAGGGTTGCCATAAGTTGGAAACGACTTGAAGGCACCCAACAACAACAACAACAACACACTGTTTTACATCCAAGTAGTCATGTTAAGTGGTTAATGTTATTTCTACTATTCCATATGGTTAATGTTATTTTTACTATTTCATACTATTCCATAGTAATGTTATTTCTACTCCATATTTCTTATGGTTTCAGTTTTAAAATTATTAGGGTTGTGTGTGTGTGTGTGTGTGTGTGTGTGTGTGTGTGTGTGTGTGTGAGTTTATCAGTGTAGATGCCAGTTACTATGCAATATAATGATCTAAACAAGACCTATCAGGTCAAAACATCCAGTTCGAGATCCTGGGAGTGGACATCATCATCATCTTGTCTTTGTGTACCACATTCTCTCTTGTGAAACACCCAAAATTGATCATTTTGAGGTTTCATTAATAGTCTTGATTACTGAACATATGCATTTTTTTAATATCTTTATATAATTTCATAGCACTTTCCTTGATCCAGATGGAGGTTATTGTGTTCTGGTTGTACACAGGTTTCCTAATAGTTGAAACTGACTTTGCACCAAGTTTCTCTAGGGAAGGGACCCAATGCCACTCTCCTCAAGGATGCTGCAAATGCATCCTTTGCCCTTACCCTTCCATTGCCACCTTTGCAACACCATTGTGGCAAGAATAAGCAAGAGAGGGCTCCGAAATTGGCAAGCCATGGGCACCCGAAAACCAAGATAAACAGGAAAAGCAGCCAAGCAAAGCTCTGGATTGAAAGACAAACAAGAGAAGCGGTCCATGGAAGGGGAACGGAAAGGGGCAAAGGCCAGCAAGAGAGGACTGTCCAGAGTCCAGAATCCCAAATATTTCTCTGGACATGGCTAAGAGAACGGCCTCTGAACCAATATCAAATTCTGAGTGAATTAAATTCCAGAATATATAAGGTGTCTTGAAGGCACATGCACACACATACACACCATTTTACTACAGTGAATTTGTTAGTAGTAGTGGTTTGAGTGTTGGACTCCGACTCTGAAGACCAGAGTTCAATTCCCAGCTTGGGCATGTAAACCCACTGGGTGGCCCTGGGCAAGTCACACTCTCTCAGCCTCAAGGGAGGCCATGGCAAACCTCCTCTGAACAAATCTTGCCAAGAAAAACCCCATAATAGTTTCCTGGCCTTAGGGTTGCCATAAATCAGAAACTACTTGCAAGCACACAACAGCAACCACAGACATATATCTAAGCCTAAATACCCTAAGGGTACTAGATCCTTTTTGATCTTAGAAGCTAAGTAGGGTAATCCCTGGTTAGTATTTGGATGGGAGACCACCAAGGAATACCAGGTACTGTACAGGTATATTTCAAAGGAAGGAACTGACAAAATCACCCCTTCCTTTAGAAAACCCTATCAAATTCATAAGGTGAATGTCGTAAGGGAAATACACCATTTTACTACAGTAAATTTGCTTTTGAAACCAGCATGGCATAGTGGTTTGAGTGTTGGACTATGACTCTGGAGCCCAGGGTTTGATTTCCGCCTCTGCCATGAAATCCTCTGAGTGATTCAAGTCACATGCTCTCAGCCTCAGGGGAAGGCAAGGGTAAACCTTCTCTGAACAAATCTTGCCAAGAAAACCCTGTGAGAGGTTTGTCTTAGGGGTTGCCATAAGTAGGAAACAACTTGAAATAATAATAATAATAATAATAATAATAATAATAATAATAATAATAAAGTTTATTTGTATCCCGCCCATTGGTAATCCAACAACACACACACACATTTGCTATTTCTAATTAATAGACATTTCATAGAATCATAGAGTTGGAATGGACCCAAGGGCCATCTGTTGGGGATGCTTTGATTCTGAGTTCCTGCATGGCAGGGATTGGACTGGATGGCCCTTGGGGTCTCTTCCAACTCTATTATGATTCTGCCATGCAGGAATACACAATCAAAGTACTCCTCGCAGATCATCCAGCCTCTGTTTAAAAAAACCCATCAAATCTTTTTGCCATTTATGTTTGCCATTTATGAAGGATTTGGAGTTGGACAGCAGAAAAACAGAGGAGTCAAAAGATCGTCTTACCTGGATACAGGAATGATTATATGATGTTAAGATGTATGGTTGTTTTTAGTAGTTTTATATGTTTGAAAATACTGTGAACAAAGAGAAGGAGAAGGAGGAAGGAAGGAAAGAAAGAAAGATTGAGTGTGACTCCATAGTTGTACCCAAATGTCAGCTCCAGTGCTAGCAAAAGCCAGCAAGCTTCCTTGCATGGGAATCAATGGGTTTATTGTTGCTGGGTGGGATGCAATGTGCATCCAACTCATGCTTGCCCTTGGGCAGAGAAGGAAGGTGGGCATCAGCCTTAAAGCATCCCGTGGGAGTAGAGCTTTCCCACAGCCTGGTATCGCTCCATCGTCCTCCTGGACATAGTCTGCCCGCTGTCTGGAAACATTTTAGGACAGCCTGTTCTGGAGCAGACCGTGTGAGAAAACCCTCCAGGGCTGTATCACTGTAATTTCATTGCTAACAATGGAGGTCTTTAAATTAAATTAAATTAAATCAAATCTTTGGAGGTCTTTAAAGAGAGGCTGGATGGCCATCTGTCAGGGATGCTTTGATTTTGAGTTCCTGCATGGCAGCATGGGATCAGACTGGATGGCCCTTGGGGGTCTCTTCCAACTCTAGGATTCTATGATTCTACAGCCACGACCCAACACAATTTAGCACATTAAATATGAAATCCATGCAAAAATAGACATTACAGTGGGCCCTTGGTACCCGCTGGGGTTTGGTTCCAGGATTCCCTGTGGATACCAAAATCAGTGGATCCTCAAGTCCCATTAAATACAATGGCATAGTAAAATGGGGTTCCTTGTATAAAATGACAAAATTAATGGCATTCATACAGATTTTTTTTTAACATTTTCAAAATGTGGATGGTAGTTGAATCCATGGATAAATCTGTCACTTTTTGTGTGTGTTTTAACTGTACTGTGCTTTTAAATGGTAAGCTGCTTTGAGTCCCAATTTTTTGGGGAAAGTAGGATATAAATAATTATGATGATGATGATGATGATGAATCCATGGATATGGAGGGCCAACTGTAGTTCAAGGTGACATTCTGATTTATCAAACAGCTGCCGTTCCTGATAAAGCAAAAATTACTAAGGCTGCATCCGCACTGCAGAAATAATCTGGCTTGGCACCACTTTCACTGCCATAGCTCAATGCTATGGAATTCTGGGAAGTGTAGTTTGTTATAGCACCAGAGCTCTCTCACAGAAAGATCTCACAACTACAAATCCCAGGATTCCATAGCATTGAGCTGTGGCAGTGAAAGTGGGCTCAAACTGGATTATTTCTGCAGTGTGGATGCAGCCTAAAAGTTAAGATTTACAGTAAAATCCCCACCCATGTTTGTTCGTTTCTAATAGCTCTGTTCTTGATTGTTTTAATTCTATTGTTAATTTAACTTTTTAACTTTTGTATAATGGGTATTTTTAGCATTACCTGGTTTAACCTTCGTAAGTATCCCTGAGCCCCAGACTAAAACAAAGGCCCAATATAAATAAATATAATAGCTGTTGTTGGGTTGTGTGCCTTCAAGTCATTTCCGACTTAGGGCGACCCTATCATGGGGTTTTCTTGGCAAGACCTCTTCAGAGGAGGTTTGCCCTTGCCATCCTCTGAGGCTGAGAGAGTGTGACTTGCCCGAGGTCACTCAGTGGGTTTACGTGGCCGAGCCAGGATTTGAACCCCGGTCCCCAGAGTCATAGTCCAACACTCAAAGCACTACACCATGAGTACTACCAGTATTAATTATCCTTTCTAATAGAATAGGCATACTAAAGCATAAAAATAATAAAAATCAACAAGAATAAAAACATAGGTATAAAAAGCTTGAAAATGCAAGAGAGCCAAAATCTTTCAGGGTTTCCTAGCATCTGCAATCCAAATAGTAAAGGAAATATTAGAGCTTGCTAGCAGTGTGCTGATCTGTTCCAAGAAATGTGTCTCTGACAAAGAACAGCGGACGCAGATAAGAAATTTGGGGACTTAATACAAAGGGCAGCTTAATAATATATCATGGAAGGCATTGTCAGCTTCAGCACATTCACAGACACCAAAGTTTTGGTGAGATGGGATATTTATTCGTAAAAGAAATTGATTAGCAAACGTGCTATATGATGGTCAAAAACTTTTATTTCTTAAAAAGCCCAATGTGTTTTAGCCTTACCATCAATTGGCTTTCTTCGCTCTTCATTTCTGACTTATGGAGATCATGGGGTTTTCTTGGCAAGTTTCTTCAGAGGGGGTTTGCCAATGCCATCCTCTGAGGCTGAGAGAGTGTGACTTGCCCAAGGTCACCCAGTGGGTTTCCATGGCTGAGCAGGGATTCGAACCCTGCTCTCCAGAGTCCTAGTCCAATGCTCAAACCACTACGCCACACTGGCCTTTTTCAGAGGCTATTATAAAATAAGCAAAAAGACATTTACTATGCATGTAAATAAAGTGTTTGCACATATACAAATATATAATTGCAACGCCAGAAATTTCTGAGAATGGGTATGTATATATTTGTACAATAGAAATTGTTTAATTTTTAAAAATAATAATGCATTTTTCAAAAAGAAAAACACTTTATGTGTTGTCTCAAACTTTACATGCATAATAAATGTGTGTAAATATGTATGTAAAAGCCTTCTTCGGGGGCTATTATACAACAAACAAAAAACACATAACAAATGTGTTTTTCTTTATGTTAAAATGGCCCTTCAAGAAGGCAATTGGTGGCAAGGCTGAACCGTGTTGGGCTTTTTGAGAAATAAAAGTTTTGAACCATCATATCGCACCTGGGACTTAGACGCCTTGAATTCTTCCGCTGTAGATA